CTGGATGGACACACACTGTACGGGGGGGGTGAATGTTTTGATGACTCATCAGTTTTGATTTGATGAAGGATAAGAGTTATTCACAATAAGGCGTGTAGCTGACCTGATTGACAGGTGGGCGCGGTGTAACGGTTTGTCAGGAGGTTTAAAACCCGCCTCAGCTCCAGCTCTCAGCCTGTCGTTAGGTTGACTGAAAGTTAGACTGAGACAGCATTTCCAGCATGGAGACCGCCATCGATGGGACTCCAGCGCCCCCTGCAGGGACAGACGGGGGACGTCACTCAGGCTTTGTCCAGTAATCCTTATAGTCTGTGGTTCTGCCACATCATTTGCTGATAGGCAGATGTTTGTCGACAGCTCCTTTATCAGCTGATTGTGATGTTAAAGAGTCGGTGCATCCCTGATTTTATTAATGAGAAGATAAACGTTCAGTATGACATCATCACTCGTCTGTGACAGTTTGTTTGAGGGCTGTCAGCTCTCTCCTGCCCTTAAAGATAAATCTGATTTTGATTAAGACTTTAGTGCAGTGCTGCATTCAGGTCCTCGGATGGGCCCAGTTTCTTCTGACTTCAGTGTGTTCTCAGTGAGGAAGGTGAGGAGGTTTGAATCCCCGTCCTTCAGGAGTCTCTCTGTGAGGAGGTTCCTGGTTTGAATCCCCGTCCTTCAGGAGTCTCTCTGTGAGGAGGTTCCTGGTTTGAATCCTCGTCCTTCAGGAGTCTCTCTGTGAGGAGGTTCCTGGTTTGAATCCTCGTCCTTCAGGAGTCTCTCTGTGAGGAGGTTCCTGGTTTGAATCCTCGTCCTTCAGGAGTCTCTCTGTGAGGAGGTTCCTGGTTTGAATCCCCATCCTTCAGGAGTCTCTCTGTGAGGAGGTTCCTGGTTTGAATCCCCGTCCTTCAGGAGTCTCTCTGTGTGGAGTCTGCATGTTCTCCATGTGTGGGTTCTCTCCTGGTTCTCCGTCTTCCTCCCACAGTCCAAAGACATGCTCGTTAGGTTAACTGCTGACTCTAAATTGTCTGTAGGTGTGAATGTGAGTGTGTCTGGTTATCTGTCTCTATATGTCAGCCCTGTGATTGGCTGGTGATCAGTCCAGGGTTTAACCCTGCCCCTCGCCCAATGACAGCTGGGATTGGCTCTGGCGCCCCGCGACCCCAAACAGGAAAGCGGTATAGATAATGGATGGATGTAAATCACTCTTTTGATTGGGTTGTTTAAAGGTCAACCAGATCAGACTTCCTTAAAATGCTTAATACCATTTACAAAGAGGCCTCTGGGAGTTCCACTTCCTCAGGATCAAATAAATAATATATAAGTATAAATATGTATCTCCATTACTCTGGGACTGCAGGGAAATGTAGTCCCTTAACATAAAAAGAAGGGAGTTCTCATGTGATCTTGTAGTTCTCCTGTGATCTTGTTGTTCTCCTGTGATCTTGTAGTTCTCCTGTGATCTTGTTGTTCTCCTGTGATCTTGTAGTTCTCATGTGATCTTGTAGTTCTCCTGTGATCTTGTAGTTCTCATGTGATCTTGTAGTTCTCTCTGTGATCTTGTTGTTCTCCTGTGATCTTGTAGTTCTCATGTGATCTTGTAGTTCTCCTGATCTTGTAGTTCTCCTGAGAACTTGTAGTTCTCCTGATCTTGTAGTTCTTCTGTGATCTTGTAGTTCTGCTGTGAACATCATTTGTAGTTCCTTGCTGAAGGTTTGAATGTGTTAGTCATGTTTTGCAGCTTGAGAAACGTGTCCATCAGAGGAAGATAAAGTGTTCTCACAGAGCTCAGCTGGGCTCTGATAAAAGCTGCCCGTTGTCTCTCTCTGTGCTGGATGTCGATAAAAGACGTGGCAGGCGACATGGACACATTACAAATGATCCTTTCAGTCATGAAGACGAGGGAATAAAGGAGTCTTTGGCTTGGCTGATTAACATCACTCTGATAAATATGAGGTCACGTTGGCGGCTCCGCCTACAGTCAGACAGGAAGCTCATGAACCAAAACACCCAGAACATGCAGAATATTTGTATAATGAGCATGATCCATTAATCACCACATTCAGAGCACAGTTCTTATCCCTGTTCATGTCTCTCTTTATTCCCTCACATAGACTTGTTATTCTGGTGTGTCCCTTCAGAATAAAAGCTTCTCTGTCACTTAGTGAGGAGAAGAGGAAATTACTCGAAATGACAGACAAGAATGATATGAAAGGCCAAATATCCAACGCTTTATAAATTCTTATTGAGCCTCTCGTGGTGTTCTGGGCAGGGCAGATTCTAGAGTCTGTTGGGGCCCTAGGCAAAACCTCACAAGGGCCCCCTCCAGCCAGAGTTCATCACCATTAAGTGATAAATATTCTAAAAACATCACTATTTAAATCACTCCTCACATTAATAGAATATAATTTATAACCATTATTTTTTATTAACAGCTTCAAATAAAATAACAATAATCAACTTTTACGCCATTACCTGCATCTCATACTTCTGTCTTGCTGTCTTTTTTCCCTAGCAGACCGATAACTCGTAATTTTCCTTTGATGACTTTTATCGTCATTGCAAACTTTGTGCATTTCATGCCACTGTTGTATTCAATCTTTGAAAGCCCTGCGGGGCCCATTACCTGCCTTTACCTGTTGACAAGCAGCGCCTCTGGTTCTCTGTATTTTTCTGTATTTTTTACATTTCGAACAGTATTGCTGTGAAAGTGATAAGCACTAAAACATTTCCCTCAGATACAGCAGGCAGAACGCGGAGCTGCTCGTTACAGTTAGTTTTAATTTTGCAGTGCACTTGTTAATAACGGTGTCCCACATGGATCAATATTCAGCCTTCTGATATTTATTTTACTCATTAATATTATTTATGTGCCTACTGAACCTGCTGATGTCCATTTATATTCTGATGAAACATCCCACAGTCTGGCTTTATGACAGGATGCTTGTGTGGTCCAAAGCCTTCGTCATGTCTTCAATGTTAAACTATATTTATACTTTAAAACTCCTGCGTGGAGTTTTTAGCTGGTTATGAAAAAGACATATATTAATTGTGATGCCTCGTTATAACCTTTAAAAGACAACAAGATCACCATTGGAAAAGTTGACCATCTTTCACTTTTTATTAAAAGTCAAACAGGTGTTAGTGAGCCAATCTGACACCCCTCAGAGCAGCTGCCAGTTTGGCTGCAGCTAGTTCTTCACAGTGTCATCAGCATACTTTTGCATATTAACATCCTGGCAAACTTGAAGGAGATCATTATTATATATATGCTAAATAAAAATGGTCCAAAGATGGATCCTTGAGGGACTCCAACAGTACAGCTGGTTAATGAGGAGCACTTATTCCCCTCTCGGTGTCCTCTCCTTTAAGAAGGATTGCATCCACTTTCACATAGTTTTGAAAGTAAAATGTTGGAGTTAGCTGCGTCAAATGCCTTCTTAAAATCTAACAACACATCACTGACAGAAACACCTTTGTCGAGATAACTTTTGTCTTGTTCAACAAAAATACACTTTTTTACCCCATTGGGAAGCTAGGACTATTATGTCTATAATTTGAAGGAGTAGTTCTTCCCCTGATTTAAAACAGGAGTCACCATTGGCCTGAATGTCTCAGACTCGAGGCACAGGTATATTCAGAGCAGGTGAGCATACAGTTACATGAACAACCTCTTAACAATCCTCCTGGGTGATCTGAGAATAGCTTATAGTGCCCCATGTGTCCCGAGGACGGACTGAGATCTGAACCAGGTTCTGCGCTGGGTCCCAAGAGACCGACAGAAGAGGTTGGCTTCAGAGGAGTGTGGGGGGGGAGGTCAGTGAGGTAGGAGGCGGCCTGGTTGTTTAAGGACTTTGAAGGTAAGGAGTAGGACTTTGAACTGGATTTGTTGGGGAGCCAGTGGAGGTTCTGGAGGACAGTTCAAATGTTCAGGTTCATCAGATGTCAGACTTTTAGTGCACAAGCATTTGTTTTCATCTCAGAGTGGAAATGAAAGAAGGAAGAATGAAAGACTCCAGAAGAAAGATTTCAAGCTGAGTAAAATCAGATAAATGAATCAGTAAAGAGTTATCACACTGATGCTGCGGCAGCGAGTCCACAGATGATAAATCTTCTCCTGCTGTAACTGTGATCAGGACGGCATCACACACACACACACACACACACACACACACACACACACACACCCACAGTCAGAGGGCGAGAGCGCCACGCTGCTCACAACTCATCAGAGCTTTGTTTGTTCACAAATTCAAATCAGCTGTTTCTGCACAATATGAGCATTTGTGTGTGTGTGTGTGTGTGTGTGTGTGTGTGTGTGTGTGTGTGTGTGTGTGTGTGTGTGTGTGTGTGTGTGTGTGTGTGTGTGTGTGTGTGTGTGTGTCAGAGATTCCCTCCTACGTCTCTTTGACTTCACACTGGACTTTGTGTGGTCGCAGTGCGGAACAATCATCTGCCTGTGTGTGTGTGTGTGTGTGTGTGTGTGTGTGTGTGTGTGTGTGTGTGTTGTTACATGAAGGCTTGTTGAAATGTTTGATACTTTTTGATTGCTGGAGTTTTAAAACTTGACGTTTCTGTTATTTTAATGATCAAGAATCAAAAGTTAAAAACCTGTGTGGTCAGACAGGTGTGTAGGAGAGAGAGGGCTGAATCAAACAAACATGGTCGACAAACTCCTCCGGTCTGAATCGCACAAAAACAAACGCTGCCAATGATGTGCGATTTGTACGGAAGCCCGAAAGTTCACCTGCAGAAACACATTTGTGAAATATATTTCAGTTTATTTGATTTTGTCTTTCATGAAATGTTTCTGTGGTTGACCTTGAGGACCTGAAACTTTCTCAAATTCAAAACCTTGAATTACACACTTCGGGATGTTGTATCCAACACGTATCCAAATGGTTTGAAATCTTATCATAAACACAAGTTTAAAACTGGTGTCATCATGACGACCCCTTCAGGTCAAAGGTCATATCTGAATGTCCTCTCTGTCTTCTCCGTCTGTGTTTCAGATCCAGAGGGACAGAGACGTCTTCTCACCTGCTCAGCCCTGCCCTGAACCCAGCTCGCCCACATGTACAGGTAAGACTGACACACACACACACACACACACACACACACACACACACACACACACACACACACACACACACACACACACACACACACACACACACGAACACTCACCTTCATCCCTGACCAGGTAACGTCTCTCTCTCTCTCTCTAACAGACGTCCTCCCAGAGACAGACGAGTGTGTGTCGCTCTGTTTGACACACCAAGACAGTCTGAAGGTCCATCCTGAGCCGGGTGACTGTGTCTTTAAAAAGGTTTGAAACCACCTGAAACACACACACACACACACACACTCTCTCTGTCTCTCCCTCTCTCTCTCTCTCTCTCTCTCTAAATACTTATTTCAGGGGCGTGTCCAGCCGGGTGGCAGGGTGAGTACCTGCGTGCGTGGCGTGCGTGGCGTGCGTGGCGTGCGTGGCGTGCGTGGCGTGCGTGGCGTGCGTGGCGTGCGTGGCGTGCGTGGCTGTGAGGTTTATGAACAGCAGTGAGCTGCTGGTAGTTCAGAGCATCAGGGCTGTGACTCATTATTTCTGGAAGAGTCTTTTCCATTCTGCTCTCTCAGAACGCTGACATGTGAACTCTGTCTGACTGGAGCCTTTCAAAATAAAAGCTTAATATGACCTGGAGCCTTTCAAAATAAAAGTTTAATATGACTCCAATACTGTGAAAAAGAGAGACAACAGGAAGGAAACACTTTCAAAATAGGTGGAGAAAAACTTGAGCCAAAAGACATCAGTATAAATGATCCAGGTCCAGGTCCAGGTCCAGGTCCAGGTCCAGGTCCGGGACCTCAGGATGGTTTGAAAAGTAGAAGGATTTTGATGATAAAAGCATGAAACTTGGCACACTGTTAGAGCATGCCCTAAGGAAGATTTTTGGCTACAGGGCCATCCCATATTTGCGATACATTTTCAAAACGGCCGCCACAGGGTATTAATTTAGAAGTATCTTGGGATCTAGACCACCTAGGATCGTGATTTCAGTGACCTACATTTTCATGGATAAGGCATGAAGTGATACTGTTAAAAACATGCTTGCAACTACCTAACTACGTACTTCTGTGGTGGACTCTGCTCTCAGAATGAACACAGCATGTCATTGAAAACCTGTAATAAATATATATACATGATAACATGTATAACTTCCCTCATAATAAATATGTTGATGGTTTAACTGCTATTTAGTTCCCTGAATGCCTGAATAGGGCATGTTTCAGGCTTTTATCATCAACAGCACAATTCTTTCACATATCTGCTGGACTATTTAATTCATCGGGCTCCATGTAGTCCTCATTACACATTTGAAATGTTTCCTGCTGTCTCTCGCTCCCCTCCAGCCTGCAGACCCTCCCCCCCGTGGAGGGGTGTGTGTCTCCTGGTCCTCCACAGATGAAGCCTATCCTGGTGAGGACCCTCTGGACCCAGCGGCCCCTCGGACCTCCAGGCTGTCCTGGAAGTCTGAAACAGAGGACCGAGGTAAACCAGACTAATGAGATCTCATTCAACACAACCTGTCTGTAGATTGAAGGGGCGGAGCCTGTCATCTCTCCTGTGACTGTCACAGAACTAAAAACATTTGTTTGTAATGTCAGGACGAGGAGAAGAAGAGGACCAGCTTACAGAGAATCCCGTCTCCTCAACCGTCATGCGAGCGTCCGTCCGCTCTCTCTCTCCACTCCGACGTCACAGCTGGGAGCCGGCCGCCGCGGAGAGTGACATCACAGCCAGCAGGTAGAAGATGAGACGATGGATCTGAGTTTGAGAGAGTAAAGGAGCAGCTCCTCTCACTGTCTCTTTGTCTGCTTTCAGCCTTCTGAAGAGCCAATCAGGAGAGAGCAAGAGAGCCAAGAACCCCCTGCACAGGAGAAGGTACACCTGTCAATCAACACTGAAGAGGGGCGGCGCCTCTGCAAGAAACACGTGCGTGCGTGCGTGCGTGCGTGCGTGCGTGCGTGCGTGCGTGCGTGCGTGCGTGCGTGCGTGCGTGCGTGCGTGCGTGCGTGCGTGCGTGCGTGCGTGCGTGCGTGCGTGCGTGCGTGCGTGCGTGTGCCTATGTGGTATAGACTGCCTTTACACCAGGTTACCCACCAGCATTCCCCGGACCTCAGGGAATTAGCTGGACTATAATTCAGAAAGTGTATCTACATTATTTAGTGTCTAACTAACATAAATTCAAATTTTCTTTGATAGTCCATCTATACCACTTGACCTGACAATTTGTGTATCCCAGTGTATGGAACAGCGCACCCTAGAGCTTGGGATGGATTTGCACTTTCTCACATATTTTCGATACACACGGTGCAAATTAGGCGGGCTGTCCTGTGATTGGCTGGTTAAGTTATGTGGGCGGGGCCTACCAAATGTGTGTGTGTGTCAACAGCAGTTTGTGTGTTTGATATCATTAATGCTCCTCCTCTCCTCTCCTCTCCTCTCCTCTCCTCTCCTCTCCTCTCCTCCTCTCCTCCTCTCCTCCTCTCCTCCTCCTCTCCTCCTCCTCTCCTCTCCTCTCCTCCTCCTCTCCTCCTCTTCTTCCTCTCCTCTCCTCCTCTCCTCCTCTCCTCCTCTCCCTCCTCCCCTCTCCTCCTCTTCCCCTCCTCCTCTCCTCTTCTCCATCATCCACTCATCTCTCTGCAGCATGAGCTGGTGTCCATCCAACCTGCATCTCCCTGATCCTCTGCAGCAGCACATAGACAACAGGAGGTAAAAACACACACAGCAGGAGGTAAAAATACACACAACAGGAGGTAAAAATACACACAGCAGGAGGTAAAAATATACACAGCAGGAGGTAAAAATACACACAGCAGGAGGTAAAAACACACACAGCAGGAGCCAAAGAAATACACAAAGCAGGAGATAAAAACACACAGCAGGAGGTAGAAACACACAGCAGGAGCTATAAATACACACAGCAGGAAGTAAAAACACACACAGCAGGAGGTAAAAATACACACACCAGGAGGTAAAACACACACAGCAGGAGGTAGAAACACACAGCAGGAGCTATAAATACACACAGCAGGAGGTAAAAAAAAACACAGCAGGAGGTAAAAACACAAACAATGGGAGGTAAAAATACACACACCAGGAGGTAAAAACACACTCAGCAGGAGGTAAAAACACACACAGCAGGAGGTAAAAACACAAACAGCGGGAGGCAAAAATACACACACCAGGAGGTAAAAACACACACAGCAGGAGGTAAAAACACAAACAGCGGGAGGTAAAAACACACACAGCAGGAGGTAAAAACAAACACAGGTACTCACACAGGTGATACACACACACACACACACACACACACAGCAGGAGGTAAAAACACAAACAGCGGGAGGTAAAAATACACACAGCAGGAGGTAAAACAACACACAGCATGAGGTAAAAACACACACAGCAGGAGGTAAAAATACACACATCAGGAGGTAAAAATACACACAGCAGGAGGTGATACACACACACAGCAGGAGGTAAAAATACACACAGCAGGAGGTGATACACACACACAGCAGGAGGTAAAAATACACACAGCAGGAGGTAAGAACACACACAGCAGGAGGTAAAAACACACACAGCAGGAAGTAAACACACACACAGCAGGAGGTAAAAATACACACACCAGGAGGTAAAACACACACAGCAGGAGGTAAAAACACACACAGCAGGAGGTGATATACACACAGCAGGAGGTAAAAATACACACACCAGGAGGTAAAACACACACAGCAGGAGGTAAAAACACACACAGCAGGAGGTGATAAACACACACAGCAGCAGGTAAAAACACACACATCAGGAGGTAAAAACACACAACAGGAGGTAAAAACACACACAGCAGTAGGTGATACAGACACAGCAGGAGGTGATACACACACACACACAGCAGGAGGTAAAAACACACTCAACAGGAGGTGATAAACACACACAGCAGCAGGTAAAAACACACACAGCAGGAGGTGATATACACACACAGCAGGAGGTAAAAACACACACAGCTGGAGGTAAAAATACACACAGCAGGAGGTAAAAATACACTCAACAGGAGGTGATAAACACACACAGCAGGAGGTAAAAACACACTCAACAGGAGGTAAAACACACACAGCAGGAGGTAAAAACACACACAGCAGGAGGTGATATACACACACAGCAGGAGGTAAAAACACACACAGCTGGAGGTAAAAATACACACAGCAGGAGGTAAAAATACACTCAACAGGAGGTGATAAACACACACAGCAGCAGGTAAAAACACACACAGCAGGAGGTAAAAGCACACTCAGCAGGAGGTAAAAATACACAGACATGTTTATAAAGTTTTGTGTGTTTGTGTTGTGATTTGAACAGCTACAGTCTGGAGGGTCTGGAGGAGAGGGGGATGCTGCAGACTCAATTTCCCAGCATCCTCTCTGATCAGCAGGAGAGGAGTTCAGGGAGGAGAGAAGAGAGAGGTTCGCTGCTGTCCCTCACTGAGGAGGAGCAGGAAGGAGACGCCTGCAGCCTCCACAGCCAGGTGTGTGTGTGTGTGTGTGTGTGTGGTACAATAATGCTCATCTGTCCATGCGGCGCTCTCCGGAGCTGATGGCGCCCTCTTTAATCAATAAACTTTATCTATGAAGAACTTTAAACATAGTTGATCCAAAGTTCTGATCCCCGTTTCACCTGGTCCTGGATCGAGTTACTGACCTAGATCTCTCACCGGCTGATATGGGGACAGGAGGTCTGAGAGCTGGGCGGGGCCTTAAACACAGTCAGCAGTATGGCAGCCAGTGTAAGGAGGCAGGAACGTCACGCTCTGCACTCGTTTCCGGTGTGTATCCGCGGTGGCGGTTTCTACGGTAACCCTGTGAGCTGCGATTCACCTCTGTGGTGGTTTTGCTCAGTTTGATGGCGTGCAATTCCAGTTTTTTGAAGTGCGAGTGCAGCCATAAACTGACCTACACGTTACATCGACAGAGCGCCCACTTTTCATGACAGGCGGTTTCTCCCGACGTTTGGGGCTCTCCGCTCAGCTGTTGATGTGTTTGTTTGTTTGTTTGTGTTTAGTCGTCACATCAGGTGCTGTCAGTGACCAACAGCTGTCCTGCCATGTTTCACCACCAAACCCTCACCAAATCCATCTCCATGGTAACCATCAGAGACATAGGTGGTGAGTTTCTGTTTCCTCCATTGTTTCCTTCCCTCTTTCTTTTGTCCTTGTTTCCTCCCCTCACTCCGTCACATTTTCTCTT